AAAGGTGGTTTCGTGAGAATTACCCTGCCGTGTTATCTATGATTACTATACTCTTACATTCATAATGTCAGCCGGAGGGAGGGGGGGCGGCGGCGCTGCGGAAGAGCAGATTGCCTGTCATCTTCCCTTTACAAGCTTAAAGAATGTATTTATCGTGTGATTTTGGAAATAAAAGTTTCATATTCTGAAAGCCAAGACTTTGTTTGTTTAAAATCAAACAAAACACCCAAACCCCGAAAAAATAGTTTTTTACGCAAATCCACGTTTATTTTGAAATGAGCCGTTGCGACTTCCGACTGATTTCGATAGAGCGGGTCACATATGCGGTATACTTACAGATGGAGTGCTCGAGTCCTGGACTCGAGTGCCGATTTTCGTGACTCAACTCGGACACTGATTGATCGCGTGAATTTCGCCCCCACGATGACTCGGACTTGCACATTGACACTCCGACTTGGACTCGAGCAAGTTTTCTCTGGAGTCTGATGTCCTCTATCCTGGCGTGTGCACCTGCGAGGCGAGTTCACGTACTGGGCGCGCCCCCGATATACCAGTCTAAAGATGTCCAGAGACACACCCCGCATTGTGCTCTTTGCTTTCAAATATTTTGTTTCCACATTGGGAAAGTGCAGTGCAAAATGCACATTATGTGGAAAGAAGATTGAAGAGAAGACTGGGACAACTTAGAATTTCAATCGACACCTTTCAAGGCTAAGTAAGTACAAATGCTATTGTTAGCTTGCTAACCCACGTTAATGTTAGCCACTATAGTGACTCCACGAAGGTTTTAAGACGTCGGGTTAAGTGGAGGTAGGTGAGGATATCACATCCTAGGGACCAAGTGCAGTTTTATTGTCTAGATTAGTGGTTCCCAACCTGGGGGGCACAACCTAGCTATACGTATGAACTCCATCCTTAGATTAATGTGTTATGGAGCCTCCGTGACGGAGATAATTTTCAGTCTCTCATTTTCATTTTCACAGTAGGCTAGGCCAGGGGTTCCCAACCTTTTTTCCCAAGAGCCCCCCCAAATGACTCCTGTTGAAAGTCGTCGTCCCCCCCCCCCCCCCCACACACAAGGGGGGGGGGAGGGGGCAACTTCCAAAAAAAAGGTTGGGAACCCCTGGCCTTACCTACTGTGAAAATGAAAATGAGAGACTGAAAATGATCTCCGTCACGGAGGCTCCATAACACATTAATCTAAGGATGGAGTTCATACGTATAGGTAGGCTGTATTGAACACATCAGAGTAATGTGATCAAATAAATAAATAAAAATATGCCGATAACACGAAAGCACATGGCTACTTAACATGCAGAATGTTGTCATTGTGCATGCTAAGTAGCCATGTGCTTTCTGGGGCTTAATCTTTATTGATATAATTTAAACATTCACTTGTTGGACATTTTGATAGAATATTTAGTACAGTATATTCACTTTGTGTTTGACGTTCATATGTAGGGTTGGGTATCGTTTGAATTTCCACGATTCCGATTCTACTTTTCGATTCCGGTTCTTAATGGTTCTCAATTCCGATTCTTTGAGGGGCAGGGTAAAAAAATGATACATGGCAAGGCAAGTTTATTTATATAGCACCTTTCAACACAAGGCAATTCAAAGTGCTTTACAAAAAATGAAAGACATTAAGAAAATGGCATTTAAAATCAGTCATTAAAAAGAAAAGCTAATAAAATAAACATTAAAATAAAAAATACATGGATAAAAGTTACAGTGCAGTCTAAGATATGAATAGTTCAATTAAAAGCAGCGACAAAAAGAAAAGTCTTTAGTCTGGATTTAAAAGTAAGAGTTGCAGCGGACCTGCAGGTTTCTGGGAGTTTGTTCCAGATATTTGGAGCATAATAACTGAACGCTGCTTTACCATGTTTAGTTCTGACTCTGGGGACAGAAAGCTGACCAGTCCCTGAAGACCTGAGAGATCTGGATGGTTCATAATTTAGCAGGAGGTCAGAAATGTATTTTGGGCCTAAACCATTCAGTGCTTTATAAACCAGCAGCAGTGTTTTGAAATCTATTCTTTGACACCCAGGAAGCCAGTGTAAAGACTTCAGAACAGGAGTGATGTGATCCACTTTCTTAGTGTTAGTGAGGACTCGAGCAGCAGCGTTCTGAATTAGCTGCAGCTTCCTAATAGATTTTTTAGTGAGACCTGTGAAGACACCATTACAGTAGTCCAGTCTGGCTTTATCTGTTGTTTTGAACATTGCAGACTGAAGCTCAGCGCTAACTTTTATACGTTCTGCCTTGGCTCCAAAAACCATTACCTCAGTTTTATCTTTGTTTAATTGGAGAAAGTTCTGACACATCCAGTCATTGATTTGTTCAAAACACATGCTTCTTCCACAAAAAAAATTACATGTATTCGAGAAACTTTTACACAGGTTAGTTTACAGTAATATTCACATTAATTAGTCTGTTTATATTAACTGCTAACTGTAACCTGAGAACCACTGAAGCTACAACAGTGCAACAGTCCAACTTTTAAAGGAAACCCCCCCCATTTAAAAACAGTTCAAGCATATCTGCCTTCTCAGGCATACCGGGAAGAAATGTTTGAACATTTTAAAGTAAAATGCTTCAATCTGGTGCACTTTAAGCAGAATTACTAGAGACTAGATCTAGGGGGTACAACTCTAAACACCCATATGAAAAAGATCGGTTTACATTTTATTAATTAAATAAGTATGTGAACATAACCAATAACCTACCATAGCCAATAACAAATACATGTAACGTATTTTATTTTTGTTGTTCATGCATATCTTATTTTACTATTTTATTTATGCATATTTTTTTATCTCTCCAGTTTAAAACGATATGTCTGGTTTACTGTCCAATAGTATACATTGAAATGATTTCAAACCTGTTTTATCCCAATAATTATAAAGGAGTACCTTGGAAATATGTGTTTACATAAATTGTGATCAAAACGTTTGAGACCCACTGAGATAACTTAGACTAAAGTGAACTATCTAAACACTCAAGAGTCCTTTACCTCACTGAGCTGTAGTTATCTGACTGGAGAGGACTCTCCCTCCACATCATTGTAGAAACATCTTCTTCTTCTTAGTTAGAGCTGCTAGCACCAGATGCTAATAACAACAGCGCTGGTACCGGTGCGCCCTCCCTTTCTCCCTCGCTCGCTCCCACGCTCACTCGCACTTTGGCTGTGAGCTGCAGGTGCCAGATAAGCCAATATCCCCCATTTTCATCACTTACAGCGCCCATCGTACAGGGCAAATGAAAAGTGTAACCGGGAAGAAAAGGGTGTTACATTTACTTAATTATGAATGTTGTTACATCAAGGCCGAATATTAGGATGAGTACCAACGGTCAAAACTTTTTTTTTCCCTCCCAGAGCGACGGGCCGGCCCTGGTCCCAGGTTATGCTGTAGGAAGTGTAGGTACAACGCTAAATTTCCCGCCCCGCCGCAGTCATACAGTAGGCTACGGAGAGCGGCGAGAAACATTTCCTCAGGCATCGAAAAGCGGAACCGAAATTCACATTTCTAAATGATGCCGTTGGAATCGAAATGTTGGAACCAGTTCCGAACCGGAACCGGTTCTCGGTACCCAACCCTATTCATAAGTGATGTGATGTTTTGCCTACTGTGTTGAAATAAATTGACAACATATTCGTTCATTCCACCACATTTAGAATCATATCCCTTTTTACCATTAGTGTGTTAATAGGTGGCTTGCTTTGTTTGTGCTTGAACATTCTATTTTTTAAGTACTGTCTGTTTAGGGCCAGATGGCACTGCATTTTGCTGTGTGAATTAGTTTGTGTATTCCAATTAGTGTTATAGTTCTTTTTCTGGTGATTTATAATTGTGTTGATTAATATAATGTCAGGCTGGTCCTGGGGCTGAACAGGGTCCAGAAATGGACTCAGCTGAGCTGTTTTTCCGTACACCTGTAAGATGCTTTTTAAGCATTCTAAATGCATAATTTCAACTGGGTGTCTGTCCAAAAGGGCCACATTATGGTAGGAGAGGGTAACTCATCACTTCACTAACATAGAGAATAATTGGTTCTATGACTTTGTAATTCGAGCCAGATTCAAATTGGAAATGTAATGAAAATGTTACTTATATTGCTTAGAAAGCCCTGCGTGCTTTCTCTCATGTTTTTGTTCTTAATAATATATTTTCAGTTTCTGTGGGTTTTCAAACCATTAAATAAGTTACATAAAAAACAGTGTGTCATTGTGTTTAATGTATACTATTTTCATTTGTAAAGCAGCTCTGGAGGCAATATTGGAACTTGACTCAACCTTGATGATGATGATAATAATAGTAATAAGCTTTATATTTGTATAGAAACTTTTAATACAATAATTGTAGCCACACTTGCTTCACAGCAGTTCAATAGACAAATTAGCATACAATGACAATATAAAAGATAAAAGCAATGTAGAGGAGCTACAGCTACATTTCAGAATCAAATGATGTGGGAAACACTGGATAATAATAATAATAAAAAATAAGAATCTTTTTATTTTTCATTAAATAATGAAAAAAACCTTGAGGGACCCCGAGGGAGAGGAGCAGGCAGACCTTAGGGTCAAACAGACCCTAATTCAAAAGGACACTTTGAAGGGTTAGCAATGTCAGTGCATTCATGTGGAATAATTTGGTTGGTCTATGCTTTAAATGTAGGATATTTTTCATGTATACACACAACACCCTCTGTCTGTCCTGGGAGAGGGATCCTCTTCTGTTGCTCTCCCCGAGGTTTCTTCCATTTTCCCCACGTTAACTGTGAGGCGTGAGGGTATAAAGACAGAGGGGTTCTTATTCTGTACACACTGTACAGCCCCCTGAGACAAATGTGTAACTTTTTGATATTGGATTGTATTGATAAATGAGATACTGCAGGTCTTTTTCCAAAGGAATACAGTACCTTAAAAAACGCATGTCTCTGTTTAACATGGAACGGGCATTCTGGTGTCACATTGCTTTATGTGTGTGTTTCAGGTATCCCAGTTGAGTCGAGGGTGAATATCTTCATCAACAGCTTTGGGTCCATCCAGGAGACCACTATGGTGAAACATACACACACAGCACTAACACACTTAGGGCGCTTTCACACCTGACCTTTTTAGTTTGGTTAAAACAATTAAATAAGAATACGTACATGCCATTTATATAGTGCTTTTCACGGGAAGAAGGGGGTGGTGGGATAGAGAATTCAAGGTTGAAAGGAACAGTAAGTTTAGTTTTGAGGGCTTCTTTAAAAGATGTCAGCGGACTGACAAAAAAAGCAACAAATAAATAAGATAAAAGGTAATGTCTCTATCAGCTTGGCATATGTTCCAATGATATTTTTTCCCATAACGGGTCCAGCTGCTTCAAGTTGGATGAATTCTGCTAGTGTGCAGAAATCTTTAATTCTATCAAGGGGATGAGATGTTGGGTTCGCCCCAGACATGACATTTACCTTGATGGCTGCAAAGTAACATTTTAGTCCTGCCAAAGTACATTTTGGGCAGTTATTTTTCCTTATCATTGGTCTCTCTGTTGTCTGTCTATTTTATAACCCCCCCCTCTGACCATTACTTCCCCACAGCTTTGTCACTAACCAGAACGGCGAGCTCCTCAGTCTTCATGGTGCAGTTTGCTTGCTTGGTGGTGCCTATTGCTTAGTGGTGTGGCAGACCGGGGTGTTTCAAACTAGGAGTATATAGTATATACAGATAATGTACCTGATATCAGACAGGCTATAGCCAATCAGATGTCTCCTCCGCAAATACAATCTTTTATATTATTAAGGCACAGCTCCACTTTCCGAACCATTAATGAATGCTTGTGTACACATAACGACAGGCAAAACCATTTTAAATGTGTGTTTCCTGTATGGCGAATACAGCTGCTTTATTTATGTCTGTATTAAGTTGTTGTGAGTGTGGACGGAGCAGCTACAACAGGTTAGCTTAGCCTGATCGATCACTCAGATCGATCACTCAGATATATCAGGGTATGTTGAACTGGCTTCGTCGTACAGGCGTACGACGAAGCCAGTTCAACATACCCTGATATATCTGAGTTATCTGAGTTATCTGGCTTAACTAGCGAGATCTCGCTAAGCGGTCCTACGACGCTGGTTATCAACTCAGTAAATCAACCCAGGGTTTCTCTGTCCGGCGGAGAGCGCGTTCATGTGAAAGGTGCGGGTTTAGCAACATTTGACCAATCACAAACATGGACAAGCGTACTCAGGGGCGGACGGGGACAAAAAAATGTGCCCTGGAATCTCACCCATACCAGCCCACGTGAATTGTCAACGGGGGGGGGGGGGAGAAACGGTGGACCTCTGTCGCCTGTCAGCGCAACTTCAATGATGCCGTTTAAAAACGTCAACAATTAAGGTCGGTGACCAGTCCGCCCCTGAGCGTACTGACAGCGCAGCGTCATACTTCCTGAATGAAAAGTAAACTATAATATTAGACAAATATGAAGAAGTTCAACTTTAAACATCCATGACTTAAACACATAATCCAGGATACAAGCCACATAGTTGTACCTGCAAGGTGAATACAGAACAGCTGGTTAAAAAATAAATAAACTACCGAATGTTTGAATGCGTACATTAACAGGTTTATGATATCACTGCCCCGTCTAAAACCAGGGTATATGCAGGAATCCTGAAGTCAAATGTAATACCTTTTAAGACCTTTTTCAAGACCCTTTCCATACATTTTAAGACCTCATCGTAACTTCGAGTTCTAACCGGTTACATTGGCGACACACTTTACCTCACATTTACTATATTGATTGTAAGATAGCACAACTAAACAGAGTGCAGACAGACTACTGAAGCCTCCTCTCCACATGAACTTCAAACTCTCTGTGAAGGTCAGGTTTAATGCAGTATGCTGCTTTGTTGCTTCTGTACTCTGTGCTCTTTCATTCCAGTCAAACTCCTCAGAAACCAGTATTTGACCAATAAACAAAACAATTGACAAAACTTTGAACTATGAAATATATTAAACTTTGGTGAGCTTCAGCGGGGTAATGCCATATAGGAGCTCTATCACAAATACCCAGGGGTTAAATTGGGCTGGGGCTGTCCGGGGCTATGCCCGGCACATAGGACGATGCTCTGACGTCATCACCCTCACACATTTGTCATATGTTTACAAAAAACGATATATATGTTAAGACTTTTCTCGTTCTTAATATAGACTATATTTAGAGTCAATATGTGTTGACCTTACTTTAAAATAGCAGATCTCTGTGACCGGATATAGTTTGGCTTAGACCCAGACCCCACGAGGACGCATACAGTAAAACGCGTACGCAAACGCAAAAAAGTCTTCCATTCACACGCATTCAATTCATTAACGTGTCCGTTCACACGAGACCGCTGGAAATGCTGGAAACGCTGTTGTACATATGCCAGGCCTGTAAGTGGCGCTGCTGCCGCCACAAAATACACCAAAAGCAGCAAAGAAGACCCCGGAGCATGGTTGTCATGGTTGCCCTTCTGTTTATTCTCCGCGGTGGACGGCGTGTTCTCCTGCTGTATATCTCTCAGGTAGAGTCCACCAGCAGATAACACCCCCCCCCCCCCCCCACAGAGCGGAGCAAGGCAACGAAACTTAAAATAAGAAGCAGCATGGGGCCACCTTGAGGGGGTTTCCCGACATGTTGTTTCAGTAAATTAAAGGGTGTTTCATGTTGTCGTTGCTGTGGACCTTCTAAATACCTTGGAAAATGCCGTTTAATACTTTTTAATAGCCTTAATTTTCGATAAATTAATTTATCAACTTTTAATACTTTTTAAGACCCCGCGGACACCCTGAAAACACAAGTGGATCTGACTTTAATTACATTTGACTCGAGTGCTTCATCAACTTAATGTGTTGCTTAAAATAATACTTCTGCATACAGTATGTGATGCACGGCCAGATACGGCTCAAGAAACTGCTCAGATAAGGAAATAGGCCTATATGATACATTATGATGTGATTGATGATATGAATGACAATGGGACACATCGACGTCTGCACTCACAGTGCTGCGGAGGCTATGTTACTTTGATCCAGTTACTTATGTTGTGGCAGATATTCTAAGTAGGCTAAGCTTTCTTAACGCTAATGTTATATTAGTCAGATTGCTCTGAAGATGGGAGGTGATATTCTATTAATTTTCACGTTCTGTGATTTTTGCCGGACGTCTTTCCTGCAACGTCAGTTTTTCTGTATTTCCATTATCCTGTAATATGACTTGATAGCTTTAAACTCTGCACACTGAGCTCTGATTGGTCAGCAGGCAGTGCTTTCACTGAGTCGATCTCTTATCTAGGCTTATCTAGCGTCAGGTAAAACAAGTTATTTAGCCTTCCCAAACCTGAGCCTCACGCGCCACCTATGGTGTTGCTGTATTTTAGTGGTAAAAAAATACATTCATCATCATAATTATTCTATATATATAATTTACACAGTGCCCGTAAACCGGAGGAGAACGCTGGCATTTCTCCTCCTACTTGAAAGACTATGGAGGGATAGGGTCTGCAAAATTAGTTTATTTTGGGGACTGGATGCTCTGACCGGTCCACTTCCTGCCCGGCGCTATGCAACGCCTCACGTCGAAAATAGACCAGTCGCCTATTTTTGGCGGAGCCCAGCGCCGAGACGCTTCTAGCCATAACGCGGCGCGTCTGGTGGAATAGCACCCATTGACTAGAGTGGCTGTGAACGCCGCGGCGCAGACGGACCCGGTGGACATGAGTGGATCTGACTTTAATTACATTTGACTGAAGTGTTTCGTCAACTTAATGTGTTGTTTAAAATAACACTTCGGCATACAGTATGTAACAATGTACGTGTTGCATGGCCAGATACTGACAGCCGCGGTGAAACTCGAGCGATTATTCACATCGCGTCCGTTATGAACGCACCATTATTACAATTATTATATAATTACAAAATAAAATCGCCAATATATAAATATATTATTAAAAATATATTTATTTTAGTTACACCCTCTATTGATTAATTTGGTCAACATTGGACCTTGACACCGGAGCTATAGTGAAATAATATAATAGAAAACATTAGGCCTCTTTGATTTAATAATCGGAGCTGATCTGCCATCTCATATAACACACACTTCCTTATTTATCTTTGAATAATAATAACGTAATAAAGGTCCTGAGATTAGCGCCTGCAGGCAGGCTCCATGGACCTGTCAGCTCCGGACAGCGCAAAATGCGTACATGAAATGCTACGTCATGAACACAAGAAGTTATACCCTCGTGGGGGCGCGCTCATGTGATTGGCTTAGAATGGAGGAGACATCTGATTGGCTATAGATAGAAAACATTACAAGTACGAATCGGGTGACCGTCAGGGGAATCTCAAAAAACCCACACACGAATGCACAGCAATCCATGCACAGAAAGTAGTTTGTGTTTGCAGGTTCAGAGGTTTTAAACGGAAAACAAATATGTGTGGATCAAAAATACATATGTAAAACTTTTCTCTGTATTTGGATTTTATTTACATGTATATGAAACGGAAATAAAGTGTGAATCCTTCTATGTGCATGTGTGTATTATGAGACTGTTCTGAGCCCATAGTGGGGGGATTACGTTTTCATATATGATACATGAGAAGTATACCTTTATTCGTCCCACATGTGTTAGAACAGAAAAGAGCCAAAGACAGCTTAATGTTTAACAAAGAAGTATGCATAAAAAATATATATATATATTACAGATAACAAATGGTTTTTTAAAAATAATTACACAATTTACAAAATACACAGCCTGTAACAGTTCTGAAGATGTAGCAGCCATATTGCAGTTATTCACGGTATTTAACAACAAGGGGTGTTATAGTCTGTGTTGTTGTGTGTGTGTGGGGGTCTACTAGGGGCTGTGCTGGTTGTATAGTCTGACCGCTGCAGGAAGGAAGGACCTGCGGTATCTCTCCGTGAGACAGCGGGGGTGCAGCAGACTGTTCCTGGAGGGGGGGTACACATTGTCCAGCAGGTGTCAGGGTTGAGCGCAGCAGGCAGGACCCAAATGCAGGTTTTACAGGAAAAATACCTTTATTCCAAGGCTACATGTGAAAAATACTGAGCTCTTCCCCGTGAACAAAGTCAAAAACAAACAAGGAACTCACAAAGACTAACAGGAAAAAAAGAAACTAAATGCACACAGGACTAATCAAAGAAACAAGAGACAGGTGAGGAAGGAGGATAAAACACAGGGGCACAAGGTGAACACAATCAGGTAGGAGGGAACACACAGACAGGAAACCAAAGACAGATCTAGACAAGACAAAACACAACACAGACAGATCATGACATTACCCCCCCTCAAGGGACGGATCCCAGACGTCCCTAAAAACAAAAAGTCCAAAACATCCAGCAGGGTGGGTGGAGGGGGACTGGAGGAGGGACTCGGGCGGACAGCCCGGGGGCAAAGCAGAAACCGAGAAGGGGGACTCGGGCGGACGGCCCCGGGGGCAAAGCAGAGGCCAAGAAGGGGGACTCGGACGGACAGCCCGCGGGCAAAGCAGAGCCCGAGAAAGGGGACTCGGGCGGACGGCCCGGGGGAACAGCAACAGAGCAGGGAAGTACGCGGCGGGGGAACTCAGGGGGCCAAAGACAGGGGTGAATGCCTCGTTGGGGTAAATTAGGGGGCCGGGCTCGAGGGTGAAGGCCGCGACTGGGGAACTCAGGGTGCCGGGCTCGAGGACGAAGGCCGCAGCTGGGGAACTCGGGAGCTGGATCGCCGGAGCAGGAGCACAGGGATTGGGAGAACTGGGAGCTGGAGATGGTGGAACCCCCGGTGGTACAGGAACCGGTGTCGGCCAGACAGGAAACGGAGCCGTCGGGACAGGTGCATACGGAACCCCCGACGGGACCCTGGACAAAACATGGGCTGGTGTCAGTGGGACCCCGGACGGGGCAAGGGCTGGTGTTGACGGGACCGCTGTCAGAACAGGACAAGGTGTAGGCAGAAGAGATGTCAGCAGGACCCCCAACAGAACTGGACATGGTGTAGGCGGGACCCCCGGCGGGTTAGGATCTGGTGGCAGCGGGACCTCTAACTGAACAGGATTCGGACCTAACTGGACCTCCGATGGAACAGGTGTTGGCGGGACCCCCAACGGAACAGGACATGGTGTAGGCGGGACCCCCGGCGGGTTAGGATCTGGTGGCAGCGGGACCTCTAACTGAACAGGATTCGGACCTAACTGGACCTCCGATGGAACAGGTGTTGGCGGGACCCCCAACGGAACAGGACATGGGGTTGGCAAGACCCGCGGCAGAACAGTAGTCGGCGGGACCCCCAACAGAACAGGACATGGGGTTGGCAGGACCCCCGACAAAACAGGTGTCGGTGGGACCCCCAACAGAACAGGACAAGGAGTTGACAGGAACCCCGGCGAGACAGGTGACCCCGGGAACCCCAACGGAACAGGACATGGGGTTGGCAGGATCCGCGGCAGAACAGTAGTCGGCGGGACCCCCAACAGAACAGGACATGGGGTTGGCAGGACCCCCGGCAGAACAGGTGTCGGCTGGACCTCCAACGGAACAGGACACGGTGTCGGCAGGACCCCCGGCGGAACAGGTGACTGCGGGACCTCCAACAGGACACGGGGAGCTGGAGTGGGCCAGAGAGCCGGAACGTGAGCCAGAACCATAGCTGCTGGGGCCGGTACTGGAGCCGGAACCATGGCAGCTGGGTCTCGAGGTTTAAAGCAGGCGTGCAGTTTATCGGGAGGAGTCACAAAGTCCCTTAAAAATTCAGGCAGTGAGCTCCTTAACCAGGGCTTATCTGCAACTTCCTGGCGTGCTCGTGAAAGAGCAGCCTCCTGAGCCTCTTTACCATGAGCCCTCATCCACTCTCCAAGAAAACATAAAAGTTTGCAGGATAATTTGCCAACCTCATCCTCAAAAAACACTGCTAGGTCCATCTTTGGTGAGATCCTTCTGTCAGGGTTGAGCGCAGCAGGCAGGACCCAAATGCAGGTTTTACAGGAAAAATACCTTTATTCCAAGGCTACAAGTGAAAACTACTGAGCTCTTCCCCATGAACAAAGTAAAAAACAAACAAGGATCTCACAAAGACTAACAGGAAAAAACGAACCTAAATGCACACAGGACTAATCAAAGAAACAAGAGACAGGTGAGGAAGGAGGAGAAAACACAGGGGCACAAGGTGAACACAATCAGGTAGGAGGGAACAGGTAGGAGGGAACACACAGACAGGAAACCAAAGACAGATCTAGACAAGACAAAAGACAACACAGACAGATCATGACAGCAGGGAGGAGAGCTTGCTGCCAGATTGTATGAATGAGCAGTAATGGGAGGAGTGCCTGCTTTTCTGGGGTCTTGTGGATAGGGAGAAGGTGCTATATACAAGTCGTTCAAGCTGGTGGCCATTGATTTGAGGTGACAGTGGTGGTCAGTAACCGGGGGCTGTCAGGTTAGCTTACAGAGGTGCCAGAGCTGTTTCCCAAGTCCCAGTTTGCACCTTCTCGACCCCTTGCCTAATGTCCAGGCATGAGAAATCCTTTCCTAAGAAGTCATTTTAAAGCAAACGTCAATTAATTATTCCAGGAGACATCAGCTGTCTAATGTATTGGTATAAAGCTGCATTTTATCATCTCCGTCAGATGAGCACAAAACAGTGCGTATGACAACAATGTGACATTAACGTAGGCTACAGAAGAAGGCAGGCAGGATGATGTGACCGAGAGGGAAATATTTTTCATTAAGAATAAACAGATTTACCTATGGCTCATCCTTTAGATATGCTAAACAATAACATAAATATACTTTATAGACCTAATATATTTAGGTAAGAAAGCGAGGTAAACAAAACCAACTAATGGACCCCTCCTGTCTATCTCTGTTGCATATATTTTAAAGCAATCTTGATAGTATATTGGTGATACCAAATGTTTTAAAAACGTAAGTCTGTTTAAAGCAGATTATGTTGAAACTATTTGTTTAACATTTAGCAGTAGAAGTAAAATAATTAGCAGGAGACCTGGTAATAATTATTGTTATTTTCATTCTACAGGACTACAGAGTGAACATATTTCTTCGCCAGAGATGGAATGACCCCCGCCTACGACTTCCTACTGACTTTAAGAGTGACTCACTGACTATTGACCCAGCAATGTTCCAGTGTTTGTGGAAGCCAGACCTTTTCTTTGCCAATGAGAAAAACGCAAATTTCCACGATGTCACACAGGACAACATTCTACTCTTTATTTTCAGGAATGGAGATGTCTTAGTCAGTATGAGGTATGCTCAACTCTTTATTTTTCATGCATCTCAATGATCCATCACCAATTTATATTTTAATTGCAATCCCTCCCAGTGACACAACTGTTGCTTCTGCAGTCAACCACTAGTATTTTTCAGAATTACAAACTGTTCTGGGTCCAAAACAGTGTCAGGAAATAGCAATTATTGAATGGGTTTTATTTAGCCCAGGATTATCTGAAAAGAGTCCAGGAAACGTTCTTAACCTGTTAAACATTCTGCAGCGTCAATAAGTGAGGGTTAAAGACAGTGTGTTAAGTGTGTAATTTGACCTTAAATTCACTTTTTTCTAAAAACGTAATATTAGCCACATGCTAACTGGAAGTGACGATATTTACTCGCAAAACCGGAAGTCATTGTGTGAACTTCCGGTTTTCAGAATAAAAACTGTTTTAAATTAAAACAGTGTATTTCATTTCCGGTTTTCATATAAACATTGATTTTATTTCTTACAAATCCCATGTAATTTGGCACACATATTCTAAGTTCAAAATGTTAAATTGTCTAAGACTTTAGCTTTTGACCAAATAGTCTACCTGCAAAGGAAACAAATTACCTGAGAAGGTGAACATTGTCAACATTTTACCTGCTTAACATCATCATGAAAGCATGTTCATTGTAAAAATGTTAGCATATTACTTTTAACATTTAGCTCAAAGCACCTAAATAAAACTTAGCATCGTATTTACTTGTTTCTGCCACTTTGAATGTAATCAAAGTAAAAACAAATACTGGCCTTACTTAACCTATTGGGACCTATTATGCAAAATGCACTTTTTTATGTCTTTATATACATAAATATGTGTCCCCGGTGTGTCAGGGAACTCACAAAGTGTCAGAAAACAAAACCCTCTCTCTTTTCCTCCGTACCCACATCTCTAAAAAAAACTGCTAACAAGCAGATCCAGAATTTTCGCTCCTATTACGTCTTTGACATGTCCCAACCTATCGTCTCCAGCTGAATCCCCTCTCGCAGGTGTCTGTGTATTCAGCAGGAAGTCTGCAGGAGGCACTTAGAGTAAAGTTGTTATATATAAACACTTAGAAAGAAAAGAACATGTCAAGCTATATGCTGTATCAGAAACAATGTGCGGCGTGTTTTGGGAGAAATATGCTCTGTGTTTACATTAGCAAGCATGCTAGCACTCACAGCTAACCATGGAGCTAACGCTGTAGGCTACTGGAGAGAATATGTGTAACATAATGTCCTTGGTGTAAACCCTGCGAGAGAGAAACGTTTGAGCTCCATGCTGTTTCAGAAATAATGCTTGAAGTGGTTGGGAGCATAATATGGCATTTAATCACCACAGCGTTTAGCTGAGTTTCTCCCGGTAGAAAACTCTCTTAGCAGGGAAAAGCTGTGTGACGCTACAAAGGGACGTGGCTAGCAGCAGCCGTTCCATTTCAAGCAGAATCAGCCTTTTTGGAACAGGGCAGCTGTAATAGAGGGGTATGAGCAGTATGAGGCATGGTGATCTCTTAGGTATTTTAAGCAAAAAACTTCACAGACATTTTTTGTATAGGTCAACCCAGTCTCACGGCATTTCATGTTATAGTCTCAACATTTAATCTATTGATTCGTGTTCACCAAAACGATTTTCCCCTTTTTTTCGTGTCCCACAGAACGATTTTAAAAGCAATGTATTTCTATTGGTAGTATGTTACGTGCTTGCAACACGTCTTTTTGTCCGGTCGGGTCTTGGAACACCGGAAGCTGTGGGGTTCATAAAAACATCTTCTTAGTCAATATCGAGCCACGATTATTGTTTTTATTTTAAAACGTATAATGTCAGACTTTTTTTGTAGTCTGTGAGGAAAATAAATGGGGCTCAGAGCCTCAAAATACTAAAATCTGTATTTTTTAAAAATCTTTTTTTCCTTCTAATTTGTTATTATTTTCTAAATAACACACTGTTATTTACTCAACAATAACACACAATTATCTTTGTTTTTATTTATTTGTTTGATTCCATAATCTGGGGCTTTTTTGGTGTCCATCAGGAACTGAATTTCAAAATAAAAATAACCGGAAACAGACGTAGGCCTATATGGGACATTTCGAGCATCATTGCGATACACAGCCACTGAACTGATTACCCAAGATCCTCAGCTATGGTTTAAGCTCGGTGATTGGATGTTTTAGCCGCAATGCACGTTGGGATATGGTGTTAATGCGGGAGGCGTGTGGTGCAGAGGGTTGTGCGTTGGTGTTCGGATCAGGGGGTCACAGGTTCAAACCCCACTGCAGTCAGCATGTCCTTAGAGGTTTCTCAATACTCTAATGTCCCCTCCTCGACTCCTTGGTCCTCCGGTAGTGACCCAGAAATGGATTTCAGTGCACCATATTGAAGGACATCTAATTTCTCTAAATGCACATCGAGGACCGAGCATCGAGGAGCTCTAACCGAGGAGACACTGATGGGTCTATATTGATATTGATAGATGTCTTGTAATGCACTGTTGAGGAACCTGTGACATGTGCATCAGACTTTCTGCCCTTTACCGTTTGTTTACTCACTAATCACATCTCCCCTGGATGTTAGGCTATTTTTTTTTCAATACAACTTCTTTCATTGTGAGAACAGCTGCTGAGGTCAGTGCAGAAAGCAGAACAGTGTGTATAATATATATCGCCCAATAATAAATGTAACATTTCACACTTTATTTGTAGGCTTTAGGAGATATCTACAAATAAACAGTAGGGTTAGGGAGTGTATAGGGGTCTGTTGTAATGAATATGCTGCCAGCAAAGGGCGTTGTTAGAGAGAGAGAGAGAGCGAGAGCGAGAGCGAGAGCGAGAGCGAGAGGGAAGTCAGGGAGGAACTGCAGGTACAGTCACACAAAAATAATGTAGGCTTAATAACCCCATCTATCTATCATTTACAATATAGGCATAATTTTAAAACAACATACATATATTGCAGTTACATACGATTGTATAAAACACAATTTGCTTACATCTTTGTTCTCTTTTGAGAATCAAACAAAACAGTACACAATAGGGGGCGCTAGTGAGCAGTTTTTTTGAAAAATTACGTTTTTTTTTTACATTCTCGAAAAGGTCGTGGGCTCTGACGTGTGTCCCAAGTTTTGCGTCCGAAGCTCATTTTATGCTATCGCAATTTTAAAAAAAAAAGATAGGCCACGCCCACATTCTGCATTTGTTGCGACGCTTTAAATCTTAGTTTGTGGTCACCCACAGAGTATGTGTAAAAAAAAAATCAAAAAAATCGTCCATCCGTTCTTGAGTTATAAATTGGTGGTGTTTTTGGCGCCCCCTTTACTCCAAAATAGAAATTGTTTGGTGTGCATATTTCCCAAGACAGACTGAACCTATCCACCAAAATCTGTGATGTTTGGATACATTGTTGATGAGTTATGAGCATTTCTTTCTAAGCCCAGCCTTTTTGCGAGTACGTTTTGATTGACGGCGGCAATATTTATCGTTTGAACATGCTCATCTCCTAGGACAGTGGTTCTTACGGAGCCCCCTAGGGGACATGGAGAAGAAAAAATAAATAATTTGAACAGAAAAAAAATATCTCGCAATACTTTTCATTTAGTACTTCCTGGTCAGTTCGGCTGCTACGGCAACACAGAAACCACAACAATGGAGTGGTTCATCGATTTTACTTTGGGCTTGGCCTTAAATATAAAGATATAACATCAGTGCTTGGCAATAGGCACGGGTTTCACACATAGACTGTATATATAAAGGGTTTCTCATAAGTGAAGACACCTTAAGAAAACACAGGGGACATGCACGTTCCTCTGAGCTGAGTTATTGACAGATTCGAAATTTCGCGGATCAATAACTCATGAACATAACGTTGTAAAAATACAAACAACATGACTTTACAATCATAGCAAGGTAGACAACGAGCTACAGAGTCGTTTTTATCAGAACAGTTCGATACGCGCCGTCATCCGAGCTAAACATCAATAATTTGTCACAATCCGCAGCTGGAGGAGAGAGAGGAGTGCTTAGGGACCGTCTACAAACTGCAAAGGGGTTTTGCGAGATCTCGCAAAACATTTTACATTTTATATTTTTTCAAATAATTTTTTTTTTCTTCTCCATGTCCCCCTAGGGGGCTCCGTAGGTTCTCAACCTGTGGTGGTACGCGAGCTCCCGCTAGGTGGTACGTGGAGGAATCTGAAATATAAAAAAAAAAAAAATGTAACGTCTCCCCGTTACCTGCAGAAGGAAGCCATGCACGCAACGCAGCCCCGTTCTCTTAACTCCAGGTGACATTCTGCCGCTTTCCTCCGTGGTGCAGTGCTGATCGTTTCACCACAGAGGAAAGCACTTCACTAATTGCAGTACCCATAAGGAGCTGTACAAATGCCGCAGTTTTTGCGTGGCTGTGTATTTAGTTGAAAGCCCAGTGGCGATCTGCTCATCTCTCATCGAAATAATATGCTACAAAGGGGCGGACTGGCCATCTGTGTGTTGAACTTTCCTGTCGGCTCCCAGACCGTAGTCGAGGAGGGCAGGAGCAACAAGCTTCAGGTTCAATAACCCACTTTAGCTTAAATGACTGGAGAGAGGCGAGCTCTTCTTGGGAGGCCGTTGCATTTATTTAGCTGTTCTTCTGTTACATCACAGACCTCTGTTTTTCTGCTTCCTCGTTTCACTTCCAGAAACATACACACGTTCTCTCCATAGGTTCTCTCACTGTCGCTCTACCATCCACAAACACACATGCACAAGCCACACCCCTCTCTCTCTCACTCTCTCTCTTAAAGGGACAGCGATCTCATCTCACTCTGCATGACCCTAATATCACAACATGTGTGCTCTGGAGAATCACAGAACGGACGATCGTCCGTATTATTATGCCGTTTAAACCAATTATTTAAATGTGCTTGTTAAATTCGGCATCATGTAAGTTGCGCTGACAGGTCCACACACTGCTTCCCCGCAGCGAGGCTCCCCCGCCCTCCTGCTGATAGTTGACGAGCGTCAAGCTCCTCAA